GCCAACTATCAAGGAAGAGAAGGGTGGGCAAGTGAAACTCGAGGACGTCATGTGTATGCTTGTGTTGATCGCTGGAAAGACCAGCCCCGGAAGGGAGGGAGAGGGATTGGAAGGGGGTGGAGAGAAAGAGAAAGGGAGAGGGAAAGAAAAAGAAAACTGCACCAAGACGTACTGCGATGAACAACATGTCGATGGAAAACAATAGTGATGGATCGGAAAACGAAGAAGAGAAGTTAGTGACGAACAGAGGGGGGAAGGTGAGTGCAGAGGTCGGGATTGTGGAATATATGAGGCAGAGGTTGGATCGATATATGGAGATGACCGGCAAGAAGATCAAGAGCCTCTATGTGAGAGGGATATTAAGTGGGAGAGGAAAGATAAGAGTGCATGGGAGCTGGCGAAGCAAGATACCGAAGAATTCACCAAGATGCTGAATGGAGACGGCTGCGACAACACTGGAGACGATCAAGAAGATGAAGAAGAGAGCAACAACTCCAACAATGAGGAAAACGAAGTCATCCCGGGGAACTAACTCTCTCAAAGAGAAGCCTGCTCCGCGTTCTAAGAAGAATCTGCAATGCGATAAAAAAATACGAAGGAGAAACCAAGCGGGATTTGGAAACAGCCTTTCAGATCGGAACTATGCTTGCAATTATGTTGGGGTTCGCTAAATGGGGCCAAACTTTTATCAAGTACTGGGCGAACTGGGATCTAGATAGACTCTCCGAGATCGAGAAAACTGGATCGTGTGTGTACCTTCTTGTATCCCCTTTCTGTAGACAGACCTATATAGGCCAGTCTAGCAGAAGGGTCGTTGAACGATGGAGGGAACACTTGAGATGCTCGTCCAATCCCATCTAAAAAAGACATGAGTGGTTGGGAAAGGTGGGATCGAAGACGTATACTATCATTCCATTGTGGTTTGGCACACAGCAAGAATTAAAAATGATGGAAATTAAGATGATTAACAACGAGAACCTAGGCCTCAACCAAAAAGGAAGCATCGAAAAGCAAGAACGAAAGAAGGAAGAATGAGCTCTATCCATGTGTGGCAACCCATCTCCTTTGACTCCGACCTTCCCGACGATATGAGAACAACGAACCTGATGAATATTCTGCAAAAAACAAAAGGCAAACGCAGACCTGTTGGGATCAAATGTCCAAGGGGCAACAAGTGGATGTCGTCATGGAGGTCTATTTGTCTGGTCTATGGAGAATCCAAATTCAGAACTGAGGATGGTATGGCATTGCTGAAAGATATGAAAACACTATTTGAAGAAGGTGGGAACTTCGAACTAACGTGTCTTGTTAAAACCGCATCTGCAGCAGATAAACGAAAGGCTAAACTCATTGCTTTGTTGAGGACACCATGGAAACGTAAAGAGATTCTAAGTGGAAACGACCTCATACAACTACTCAACATGTTGAAACGTCTTAAATGCATTAACACAAAAGAAGGCAGGCAAATTATTCACAGTCTAATCTCAAATGAAATAGAGAAGAGATTAGGAGTAAATCCGAGAGAACGGATGGTCATCAAAATACCATTTTGCTTATCGATTGATAAGAAATGTGTCGAGAATGAAGCACGTAATTGGATCAAGGGGAAGGTCAGTCCCTGTGAACTCGCAGACCTGATGCAGAAGAAACTGAGAGTGGTCTGGACAAAATCCAGATCAGTCTCATACATCTTGCATAACCACAGGACGGTGGCCTCAGGACCAATTCCAAAATGCCCATGTCAGTGGTTCGAACTGCCCAAGTATAACGGGCATGTCCGGGTCAGATTAAACGAGATCGAAGAGATTGATCCCTTCCTATTCAACTCCCGGAATGTGCCCTTTCTCGGGCAAATTGCATGCCTAGACTCGATCACAAATGCCTGCAGAAATGAACTGACAAACTTGAAGAGAATTGGAATCACTGAAGATTTTCGGGTGTCACCAACAAAGATAATAAAAACGGGAGCAATAAATACAGATGGAGCAATCACAACAGAGTATGTGTATGGAGTGAAGCATGCCCTCGCTGGACTAGTAATGTCTCCTCTGGATCGAAATCCAGGGGCAACATTAATTGAATGTCCGATATTGTATCATGAAGGGTTAAGGAAGGCATTCAATGACAACCCAGAATTTGGGAAGATGAATGAAACCGAAGGAATGATCCTAAGAAGAATGAAAGAAGAATTTGATAACCAGAAACTGAACAAAGTCGGCCATTGGGACAGGAAAGGGAGAATCCAGGATGGGTTTGTCATGAATAAGGACAAAGACTTGGATAAGAAACGTCCCATATGTCCGTCTTTTGCCAACCCAATGAGATTTGTCGGAGCTACACTTGTCAAAGCACTTAACCTTATGATAAGAAGATGCAGACAACGACATTTCAACGTGATGGCAGGCCAAGACCTGAAGAATTTCCTGCAGGAAATAAACTCGAGAGTCTATAAAGAAAACCTTGGGATGATGGTAAGAACGTACTATATCAAGGAAATGTTCTCACGAATTCCACATGAAGAAGTGAGGGACGCTATCCAATGGATATTCTCTGAGTTCAAAACCGCAAGACACCATTGGGTCAGGGTTAAGAACAGACGTAAAGGTGCAACATTATGTAAATCTGCCAGTGAACCAGGATGGAAGTCGATCAGATTTAAGGATCTTGAAAGAACGGTCCCATTTCTCCTAAAGAACGTTGTTTTCAAATTTGTCGGAGGAATACTCAAACAGAATAGAGGGATACCCATGGGAGGACAAGCGAGCCCTCCCCTGGCATGCCTCGTCTGCATGTACGCAGAGAACAAGTTGCACCAAATCAAGTACCGATGCTCTTCTCCCCTTCATTCTCATCACATTACGTAGAGAATTGAAAGGCATGAATTTCCCAACAAAAATCTTCCTAGAAGCACTAAGGCGTATGTCCGGGAGGGTGGGTAGGATATGGCCCGAAATGGCCCGCATGCTTCAACACTGCTACCGTGACTGGGAGTAACTTGAAAACGGCCCAAGCTCCAACAGACTGGGAACAACTTGAAAACAACCCAAAACCAGGGCGTGTGCACCGAGGCTCGATCCGGAGACGGGGTTTATGAGTGGTGACTTGGACGTGAATCAGATCCGAAGTAACGTGGACGCAGGCAATATGACCTGAACACGGCGAATCTGCAATTACAGAATGAAGACAACGGACGACCAAACAAGACAGCCACGCCAAGGGCTCGATCCAGTGACGGTTTATTTATCAGGAGCAGGTGTTTTGTGGCCTAAAGAAAAGGGACTTGTATGATAAACCGGATCCGGACGTAAAAGTAACATGGATATAGGCAGTATCTGACCCGCGCACGACCGATCCGCAGTATCAAGATGAAGACAAACAGACGATCGGATAGGACAGCCACGCCGATAACTTCACCTCAAGAACAAAGAACTGAAGGAAGGCTCGTGCTACCAGGACAGCACGAAGGATCAGACTCTGTCGTACATACTCTCTCCCACTTGAATGAAGCTGCCTTCCCGCCTTCTGCCTCTCCTGACTTGAAGTGAAGTGTTACGTTTTGCATCGTAAATTTTTTACTAAATTAATATTTTTTCTTTTATCGAGGAAACGTGGAAACACGAAGTGCCCGAGCGTAGTGGGTAGGATGGAGTATGTATTCTAGAGGAGCGCACACTCCTAGACAGACTGAGTAGAGTGAGGTAGAAGGTCTGCTGTACACATGAGGTGTGCATTGGCAAGGTGGTGACTCTGCGAGATGTAAAACCTCTACTACATTGTTATTGAGTTTTACCTCCTATCTACCCCTCTCCCGACAATTTCTGTGTGTGTGATTGATTGATTGATTGCTTCATTCACGGTTGATTGATTGATTGATGCTTTTTTTTTGTGGAGGTGTGTATAGCAATCATGACGACACACCCACACAGACACACAAAAGGGTACCCCAAAGAGAACTAAAGTAAAGGTACTAAGAAAGAGAAATAATGGATCTATTGTGGTCCATGTTGCTTGCTATAGAGGTAAAACTGTTTCATTATTGGACTGGCTCATCTCAAGTGTGCTTCGTTGTCTGCAATAGAGGTAAAGTTGCCTTGATTTGGGATTCTTATCTGGGTGGATGCAAATCTAAAACGCACACTCACACACACACACACACACACGGTCAGGCTCGTACTGGCGAGCTATTCTCTCTTTTTGTGGTTGGATATGTCTTGTTGGTTTTGTTGATTATACACGGCCTAATTCTTTACCCTGCTTTAGAGCATGGGTTGTTTGGATGTTTACGGGTGGCCACGAGTTCTCTTTGGGGGGAATGTATGTTTTGTGGGCCAGCGTGGAAGGCTTTCCCAGTTTTTTTGAACCTTTAGCAGGGGGGGTCGGTGCGTTCTTGCTGGAGGAGTCTTCTGTCTTAGGTAAGTTGTCTCTTATCTTCTTCCTCCTCTTTGGCAGTGACATGAGTGTGTAGTTTGAGATGAATGTCGGGAATGCCAATGCTGTTATGTTTGATTGTTTTTGGTAAATGAGTTTTTTGTTTTGTGGGCGGATGCGGAAGGCTCTCCAAGTTTTTTCGGGGGTCGGCTCGGTGCCTTCTTGCTGGAGTAGTCTTCTGTCTTAGGTAAGTTGCCTTCTTCCCTCCATCCCCTTATGGTTTGAAATGTATATGTATACATATGTATATATGCAAGTGTGCCGCTTTGGCGGCAGACGGGTGTGTGGGCACTGCGGGTGCCAATGTGGTGGCCCCTTCGCGCACACCTCCACGCCAATATGCTGATCCGACAAGTGTGGGACGCACCTCTTCCCGGCCCACTGGCCGTAATCCCTCTCCCCACAGCCCTTTGGATGTCGTCCATGAGGCAGGAACTTCTTGTGATGACCACCCCAAAGGACAACGAGGTCAGCCATGTTTCGGTGGGGGGAGGAAGAGACTGCATCGTTGTGCCGGTTCCGCAACGAGGTGAAGGTCATGACGAGTGAGGAGACGGAGGCTTACGGTCGGACGTAGGTGAAGGGAAGCTTCTGGAAGTTGGTGGAAGCCTGCATGAAGGAGAAGGGTTATGATCGTGACCACGAGCAGTGCAAGAATAAATTCAACCAAGTGATAGAGTACAACCGGAAAGTGTCATGAGCGATGCTCCGGTCTGCCGAGCTATGGGGACATGAACACGAGACGAAAAAAGTACAATGTCGATTTTGTACCGTCCCAGTTTGTATGACATCATAGACTCCGTTGAAAAGGACACAGAATCTATCAACCTGTCCCACTTGAGGGACAGCGGCGAAGACCGGGAGCGGCGGGTGGACACCGACAACATGGCTGACGCAGATGGAGAGACAGAGGGGGTGAGCGATGAGGCAAGCGGCGGTAGTGGAGGTGCGTCCGGCGGTTCGTGGTTGACTGCTTTTGAACCCATACTTGGAAAGCGGAAAAGAGCAGCCACCAATGCGCGTGAGGCCAGCGTGCGAGCTGTGACAGGTGCAATGCGAGACCACACAACTGCGCTCACAAGGTCTGATCGAGAATGTCTGAAGATGCAGTGCGACGCCACTCGTGACGTGGCAAGACAACAAGCCAAAGTCGCTACACAACTCGAGCAACAGGACATTGCTGCATGTGAGAGGGTTGCCACCATTGTAGGGGACAGGGTGAAGAGTGGATACACCTGCCTGGCAGATGCTATCCTTAGAATGGGTTCCCGTAGGAGGAGTCATTCATCTAATGAGCACCATTCCAGTGATTCTGAGTAAGCCATTTCAAAAATGTCAGCTGCAGCGACTTTAGGATGGTCAGAGGTCCGTGTTGTCCGTCCTACATTCTTCACCCAAATACAACATACGGTCATTATAGATGTATTTGGGTTAACTTTCCGTCTAAATACAGCAATAATGACCGTACGTTGTATTTGGGTGAAGAAGGTACGGTCATGGGCGTTAATCTCTGCAGCACACACATCGTTTTTGACCAGTGCCTCTCAGTGCTGTCACGTGTTGCTGTCACGTGTTGCGTGACACCATTGTAGATTGGCATTGCTCCATAGCTGTTACTTTTGATGTCTTTGTTGCATGTGCGTGATGAGACATGAAGAGCTTCCTTGCAGGTGTTTTGTGATTCAGTTCTCTTTGGGCGACGTGGGAATATCGCGTGTCAACTCTCTCTCTCTCTCTCTCTCTCTCTCTCTCTCTCTCTCTCTCTCTCTCTCTCTCTCTCTCTCTCTCTCTCTTGTGTGCCTGTGCGCGCTTTGTCGTTTGTTATCATCTGCACGTGCAGCAGATATGCAAAGGCCTACTCAGTTACAGTGTCTTGCTTCTGTTAACAATGCAGTGCTTGTACCGGACCGGAGTTGGCACAACATTTTTTATTTTTATTGTGATTTTAATTTATCGCGTTATTTTTTTGCGAAAGTACACAGTTTGAACACCCGGTTTGCATGGTGATACGTGTGTCCGATTGCGAGTTTCGAAACGAGTAGATTTGTTGAAGTCTGGGATTATGCATGTGGCAAGCCTTTGAATGATTTCTGTGATCCGCCGGTTTGAAATCGTAGATTTGTAAGTTTTTTTCTTTTTTTTTTACATGATGGGGCTTGTCCACGTGGCCACGTGGCAAGCCTTCAAATAATTTTTGAGATTGCAGAAGGCCGGATCACTTTCGCCGCCGATGTTGTAGAAGGCCAGACACGTCAACAGCAAGTGTGCACCTGGAGGCTTGAGACGTGGCGGTTCTTTCAAAGCCTCATTCGTCGAATTTTCGTTGTTGTGTCGAGACTCTTTCAAACAAAGATTCATTATCCAAGCACATGATCAATAAACCGTGCAATTTCCCCCCCCATGGTACTGGTTTGTGCAAGGCAAATGAGATATAGCGAAATGACAGAATTCCAGAATGCAACTTCACATTGAAACCCAGAAAGTCCAACACTGTCCAGAAAGCAGAAATGCACTGATATTCCACCAACGGAGAACCAAAGCACCGAATCCGAATGTCCATGAGAGCATAATCTCGCCACCACCAACATATGTATCCAGAGCCCTTCTCCTACTTGGCGCTCAGCGCCCAGACCACTTCTACACAGCTACTAGCAGCCTACGAATTGACAATGCATCCTGTTGACGTCAGCAGCAACAACTGCAGTGCATGAAGATGTCGACCTTGTAGACCATCACCAAGACCAGGTATGTGCCCTCACATCATCAACTTCATCTCTCTCTCTCTCTCTCTCTCTCTCTCTCTCTCTCTCTCTCTCTCTNCTCTCTCTCTCTCTCTCTCTCTCTCTCTCTCTCTCTCTCTCTCTCTCTCTCTCTCTCGTCTTCATCACCCACGTCTTCATCACCCACGTCTTCCTTCCCATACACGAAGACCACACCACCACCTGTTGACTGTGTCCAAGCCCCAGCCTGGCTATGAAGGCTGGGCTATGCGCTGCCCTCAGCAGCGCCCTGTATCCCCTCGACGCCCGCGCGTGCCCGCACCTCACGCTAGCGCAGCAAGCAGCCCACAAGTCTAAGCTCCAGTAGCGCTGCCGCCCGCAAGTGCAAGTGCCCAAATGTCTCCCCGTGCGCCCTGCCCGTCCCATATGGAAAGAGGCGGGCGCTTGCCTTTGCTACGCCCACGTGAGACCAAGTTTCCAGTAGCTTCAGTCTCGGCCAAAGTGTCTGCGACACTGGCCTGGGACCGAATTGGTTAGGCATGCCAAACCACCCAGGCACAAATTTGCAACGCTCCCTGCTTTGACCACGTTGCTGGAAGAGCCTGGAAGGCTCACGAATATTTTGGATTCTCACAAACAAGGCGGATTGTAACCAACTGGCGCGTGGTAACTGTCTGGCGCCGACCAAGAGTTGCAAGAATTGATGAGTTCAGGGCCTTCACTTAGGGCAGGCACGTGCCTGTTGCAGGGCCCTATGCCGAGGCATAAACCCTCGCACTCCCTCCTTTACTTCGATAGTCCTCTGAGAAGTCGTTACACAGCAGGCTGCTACCCTTTCAAATTTCGTCCATAGCTTGAGAAAATTTGGGGAGCAGTCTTCATTACCTCTTCTCTGGTGAACCACCAATCTTCCTTAGGATCTGTATGGTGTCTGAACCACTCTCGGTACTGCACCTGCGGTTTCTGGGGGCGTCCCCTGCCTGGAGGCTTGGGCACAGGCATCAGCTTGTGCTCAACAACGTCGTCGATGTCCACGTGTCCATCCATGGTTGGGGGCAGCATAGATCTTCTTCAGGGAAACTGCTCAGTTTCAGCAAAGGGTGCCAATTTGGATGCATGGAAAACAGGGTGTGTGTGGAGGTGACAAGGAATGCGGATCACATATGATTGGCCATCGGGTTGATCTCCTACTATGTCCAGGATCTCCAAAGTACTGTGGCATCAGTTTGCGTGAAATTCCCAACTCTTGGCCCAATTCAGATGATTTTGGCCCAGACTCGTTCACCTACTTAAAATGCAGATGGTCGTTTGTGTTTGTTCTCAGATGTCACCATGGCATCTTGTGCTTTCTTAATATGTTCTACGGCCTGCAGCATCTGTTTGTACTTTACAGCAGGTGCTGGTGCAAGGAACCCGACTGTTCATCACTTGCTGGAGTGCATCAGATCACATGCATATACACAGACTTCACAGATTGCGAAGTCCCACACAAAACCCAATAGAAGATGAATGTGAACCAGGAAGCTCAACTCAATTATCATAACCAGATTAAGAGAGGAAATTCGTGAGTCCAAAATGTATAGCGCTGAACAGAGTTACAAGTCTTCTTCGATCAACATGAGTTCCAAGCCTGGCGCTCGTCAGCGCCAGCTGCCAAACGTCAACAACAGCGCTCAACAGGTAAATGTCACCATAGCTCACACTTCCCCCTCTCTCGTCTGTCTTCTTCTCTCTCTCCCTCTATGTCTATTGTCCTGGTCTACTCCCACTCATCATGCATGCTCACTCCCTATCACACGAGGATCTACTTTGAATACTACTCACTGAACTCTCCTACTAACTATCCCTACTAATGTACTAAC